ACTGTACCACGTGGTGCTGTTGCCAGAGGAAACGGGTGTGACTGTTGAATAAGAACGCGTGCATAGTATTCGTTGTCAACGACGTTCCATTGATAAGTATGGGCGCGTCAGAGTCAACGATTTCGGATCCCTTAGGTTGTATGGTAAAGAATTTTAAAAGGGATTCAAAACATGTGATTTTGGGGTTAAAATGTCTCCTGTACGTTTGGTCACTTTGTGCACTAGGGAGTGGCCTACTTTGGTTGCGGCATGGCCGCCGCGTGGCAGTTTGGATCCAACCCTGGTACAGCGTGTACACGTGGCTGTATCAGGTAGGCCTGAACTTTACGGACAGTTTCCATACATTGATTGTTGGAGGCAGGCCGTAAACGACTCGCCAAAATGGATCCGGATATGCCACGAGGAGCAATGTCGCCTCATGGTGGCCAGGACTTGTTTGTCCACTAGGACTGGTGTTAGGCCCATTTTGGACACGCCCCCTGAGTCCGAGATCCCTTTGCCGCCCCCTTACTTTCCTTTAAGAGGAAGTGACGCGAATGCAGGAAGTTCTGCACCCCTTCCCCTATTGCCCCCATCCACTTCCCCTTCCTCCTCCAGTACAGAATCCACCCCACCTCGTATTAAAACTCCCCTTCCGGAACCAGGACCAACCCCCATTAGATCTGAATATCCTGATTTGGCGCCACTTCAAACTTCCGGTCAAGCTTCTTCTAGCTCGGCTCGGAGTATACTATTCACTGACTTTTCCCAAAATCAAGTTCCCACATCCTCATGCCCTATTACCTCTCGACCGGAACCTTTAACTGACGCCCCTCCACGTAGCCCCATACTAACCCGACAACTGACCGGTACCCAACAATAAAAACATTATCAGATGCCTCTTCGTCTGAATCCTGGGTCAGCCTATATCGATGCCGCAGGTCAAATGGCACATGCTGACCCAGTCTTCGTATATGTCCCGTTCCCGACTACCGATCTCTTAAATTGGAAGACCCACAATTCCTCGTACACTGAGAAACCACAAGCTATGACCGATCTGTTCACCTCGATAGTTCAGACACATAACCCGACATGGGCTGATTGCCAGCAGTTATTAATGACATTGTTCAATAATGAGGAAAGGACAAGGATTAACCAAGCAGCCATTAAGGCGCTAGAGGAGAGAGCCCGTGCTTTAAATCAAGCCAATCCGGCAGCATGGGCCGCAACACATTACCCTAACACCGATTCTGACTGGAATGTAAATGGCGCAGATATGGCTCAACTTAAAGCCTATAGAGATGCTATAATTGCTGGCATGAAAGCCGGAGGGAAGAAAGCTATTAACATGTAGAAGACAGTTGAGGTGATTCAGAAAAGTGATGAAGCGCCCAGTGTCTTTTATGACCGATTATTGGAGGCATACCGCTTGTATACCCCCTTTAATCCGGAAGACGCTGATAATTTCCGAATGGTAAACTCCGCCTTTGTCAGCCAAGCTTACGGAGATATTAAGCGCAAGCTACAGAAATTGGAAGGGTTTGCAGGTATGTCTATCACCCAACTAATGGAGGTAGCGAACAAAGTATATATGAATAGGGAAACAGAAAGTAAGAAAGAGGAAGAGCGCAAGATGCGTAGAAAGGCAGATATGCTAGCGGTAGCGATCGCAGGCGTAGATAGACGGGGCCCAGATAGAAGCGATGGTAGATGGAATAGGGAGCCTTTGAGTAGGAATCAGTGCGCGTACTGTAAGGAAGAAGGGCATTGGAGGAACGAGTGTCCGCAAAGAGAGCAGTATGAGAGAGACTTACCCAGGGCAGGTTACGGAAACTTTAGAGGCAGAGCGAGAGGTAGAGGAGGCCCGGAGGGAGTAATGGTAATAGAGGGAGTAATGGGAACAGAGGAAGTGTAAGGGAAGATAGGTACTATCCAGCAGCGCAAAGGTCCCGCGATAGAGAAGGTAGGGACTTTGTGGGATTGGCTGACACAGTCATGGAGGACTATTGATACCGACCGGGCTCCATCCCCCTTGGTCGAGCGGAGCCTATGGTCGATGTATCAATAGGGGGAAAAAGGAGTGCGTTCATGATCGACACTGGTGCTGAACATTCGATGGTGACTAATCTAGTTGCTCCTCCATCTGGAAGAATTATTACTGTAATAGGAGCAACTGGAAGAAGTGCTGAAAAACCGGTTCTTAAAAGTCGACTCTGTACATTGGGAGGCCACGTAGTAAAACATCAATTCCTTTATATGCCTGAGTGTCCAGTCCAATTGCTGGGGCGTGATATGCTATCCAAATTACAAGCGCAGATTACGTTCCTACCAAATGGAACAACATCCTTAAAGTTTAATGGACCCTCAGGTATTATGACATTGTCTGTACCAAAGGAAGAAGAGTGGCGACTTTATACAGTGTTGACTAGTCAAAACCCGAGGAGTGATGAATCCTTATTTAATATACCAGGAGTTTGGGCAGAGAACAACCCACCAGGACTGGCCCGCAATATTCCACCTATTAAAATCGAACTAAAACTTGGGGTTTATCCAGTAAGCCTGAGACAATATCATATTCCGCAGAAGGCTAAGAAGAACATCCAATCTTATCTGGATAAGTTCATACGGTATGGTATCCTAAAATTCTGTACTTCCCCCTGGAACACCCCATTGCTGCCTGTTCAAAAGCCCGGTACAGATGAGTATAGACCTGTGCAGGACTTGAGAGCAGTCAATGATGCGGTTGTTAGTATACATCCAGTCGTGCCCAATCCATATAACCTGCTTGCTTTAATTCCGGGCGGGGCTACTTACTTTACAGTCTTAGATCTCAAAGATGCCTTCTTTTGCCTCCGAATTGCCGTAGAGAGCCAATGTATCTTTGCTTTCCAATGGGAAAATGCTGTAACGGGCTCGAAACGCCAAATGACCTGGACAAGATTACCCCAGGGGTTTTTCACCTACCCTATTTGGTTCAGCTCTAAGTCAAGATCTACTAGATTTCGAGTCTATCCCAGGAGAGTGTGTATTATTACAATATGTAGATGACTTGTTGATAGCAGCAGTTACAAAGGAAGTATGTCAGCAAGCAACGCGCGATCTACTACACATTCTCTGGAAGGCAGGATACAAGGTGTCAAGAAGGAAGGCTCAGTTGTGTTTGCCAACTGTCAAATATCTGGGATTCCATATCTCTGAAGGTCAAAGAATTATGGGGCCAGAGAGAAAAGAAGCTGTGTGCAAAATACCGATACCCAGGAATAGAAGACAAGTGCGAGAATTCTTGGGGGCAGCAGGCTTCTGTAGGATATGGATTCCCAGCTACGCGATACTGGCAAAACCACTGTATGCAGCTATCAAAGGTACAGAGCACGACCCCTTCTTATGGACTCAAGAACAGCAAACGGCATTCGAAGATGTGAAGAGGGCTTTGATGAGTGCCCCAGCATTAGGTCTACCTGACCACACACGGCCATTCTACCTGTATGTACATGAGCAAAGAAGAATGGCTGTGGGAATATTGACACAGTACTTGGGATCATGGCAAAGACCTGTTGCCTACATGTCTAAGCAACTGGATGCAGTGGCCAGCGGACTTCCACCTTGTCTAAGAGCCGTAGCTGCAGCCGCCCTGCTAGTAGCTGAAGCCGATAAACTCACTCTGGGTCAAGAACTTTATGCACGAGTTCCACATGCAGTACAGACGTTGTTGGATTACAAAGGAAATCATTGGTTTAGTAACAGCCGTATGACCAAGTATCAAGCAATGTTGTGTGAAAACCAAAGAGTGCATTTAGAGACTGTAAATACCTTAAATCCAGCTACCCTTTTGCCACAACCTACTGAAAGTCAACATGATTGTTTGGAAGTAATGGATGAAGTATTTTCAAGTAGACCAGATCTTCGTGATTTTCCCATCCAGAACCCTGATGTTCAATATTACACCGACGGCAGTAGTTATGTAAAAGAAGGGATCCGCTATACAGGATATGCAGTAACAACGATAGACAAGGTGATAGAAGCTCGGCCACTGGCAAAAGGAACATCAGCACAAAAGGCAGAATTGATAGCACTGACACGAGCGTTACAATTGGCTGAAGGTTTAAGAGTGAACATTTACACGGACTCCAAGTATGCGTTTTTAACCACTCATGCCCACGGAGCTTTGTATAAAGAAAGAGGACTATTGAATTCAGAAGGCAAAGAAATCAAATACGCAGCTGAGATCCTACAACTATTGGAAGCAGTGTAGGAGCCGAAAGAAGTCGGTATTATACATTGTCGGGCGCATCTGAGAGGAGATGGTGATGTAACCAAAGGGAATCGGATGGCAGATAGTGCAGCTAAGCGTGCTGCTGAATCAGGAAGACAGGAATATGTAGGGCATATAGCTGCTCTTATACCAACTCCACTGTCTCAATGGACTCCAATTTATACAGCTCAAGAAGAGGAGTGGTTAAGGACTGAACCTGGAAAGTATTTGGAGAACAAATGGTATCAGTTAGAAGATGGAAGAATAGTTATTCCAGCATCACTAGCGGTAGAAATTGTCCAAAACTATCATAGCGGGACACATTCTGGGAGAGACAGTACAGAAGAATCTCTCAGAAAACATTTCTACATACCAAGATTGTCCAACTTGACTCAGGCCATTGTACGTAGATGTGTAACGTGTGCTAAAAATAATACAAGACAAGGACCAGTAAAGCCACCAGGAGTCCAGTTTATGGGGGGACTTCCCATGTCCGATTTACAAATTGACTATACAGTGATGCCTAAATCGGGTGGACATCGCTACCTGCTGGTAGTGGTGTACACCTATTCAGGCTGGGTAGAAGCATGTCCTACTCGTACAGAGAAAGCAGGAGAAGTCGTGAGATTCCTGCTACGAGAAATAATACCCCGATATGGACTACCCTGCTCTATAGGATCGGACAATGGTCCAGCTTTTGTTCATCAGTGCTTACAACAACTGACTCATATGCTTGGTATAAAGTGGAGGCTTCATACGGCATATAGACCCCAGAGTTCTGGTAAGGTAGAGAGAATGAATAGAACTATTAAGAATCAGTTGGCTAAAATGTGTCAGGAAACCCAACTTAAGTGGAACGTTCTCTTGCCCATAGCTCTATTGCGAATCCATAGTACACCTACCAGAAGGATGGGCCTCTCTCCTTTTGAAATCATGTACGGGCGACCACCTCCCGTGCTTGGTGACTTAAGGGGGGATTTGAGTCAGTTGGGAGAAGGAATTACCCGGCAGCAGGTTGTAGAGTTGGGTAAGACTATGGAGGAGGTACAGAAATGGGTACAAGATAGATTACCTGTGAATATTTATCCCCAATTCATAGTTACCACCCAGGCGACCAAGTGTGGATTAAAGAGTGGAATAATGTGCCGTTAGGGCCCAAGTGGAGAGGTCCTTATGTTGTTCTTCTGTCTACCCCTACAGCGATAAAAGTAGCCGAAGTGGCTCCGTGGATACATCACTCCAGGGTTAAACCAGCAGCAACCGATTCCTGGCAAGTTACAGCAAATCCAGAGAATCCCTGCAAGATCCGGTTAAAACGCACGACTCAGTCGGAGTGACGAGGAATCTTGTAGATTACAAATTTTATTGTTTCAGAGACTTGGTAAGTGAGTGAGAAGGCCATAATAAAGCCTGTCCACTCACCAACGAGTGTATAAGTCAGGGAAAGTCTTGAGGGGACCCCTGTGAAGACGAGCAGAACTCCATTCCCTGCAGTCCTTACATCCTGGAAGCTAAGGTGCCTTCGCACAGACGAAGACTGAGGATGACGACGAAAGATGTATTTTTAATAATGTTTATTTATGTGTATTTTTATATTCAGGAAGGTAGAGGTACCAACACTCCTAGCTGTGAGGTATGCATTAAGACTACAAGAACAGGTAACCATATATCCAAGACCCTAATTTGGCATTTGCAATATGAGTGTAAAGGAGATGTATCAAGATGTAGATACTTAAATATAGAATATAGTGTGTGTCATTTAGGAGTAGGAGAACCTAAGTGCTTCAGTCCTGAGTATCAACCCCGTACAATTTGGTTGACTCTCAGAAATGGAGATCCTCAGGGGACCCTAATTAATAAGGCGGTATTAGAATCCGTATATTCTTCAGGTGCTCTGCTATTTGATGCGTGTAAAGCAATATCAAGTGGTAGAAAGCCGTGGAATGTATGTGGGGATCTTAGATGGGAGAGGACGTATGGGTCTAACGATAAATATATTTGTCCCAGTAGTAAAATAAATATGTAAGTCCAAGATGCCCAAATAGAGATTATAACTTCTGCCCATATTGGTCTTGTGTGGGGTGGGCGACTTGGGGACAGACAGCAGACAAGGACATGATTGTGACTAAGTTGCCTACTAATCCATATTGTAAGTCTATGGAATGCAATCCAATCCATATACTTATAAATAACCCTGACAAGTTCTTAGATAAATATGGTAATTTATTTGGGTTTCAAATATATGGGACGGGTTTAGACCCTGGGACAATATTGTTTATAGGGATAGAGACTGATACGGTGACCTCCCAAACTCATCAAGTATACCATTCCTTTTATGAAGAGATGAGCATAGATAATAAGATCCCCCATAATGCTAAAAACTTGTTCATTGATTTAGCCGAGAGTATTGCCGGTAGTCTTAATGTTACCAACTGCTATGTGTGTGGAGGTACTAACATGGGAGACCAATGGCCTTGGGAAACAAAGGAGGTAATGTCCGGTTCTGAGGCAGTTGACCAATTAATATCTACACAAGCCGACTATCATATGAGTGTTAGAGGTAAATCTGAGTGGAGATTGAAGACCCCCATCATAGGTTATGTTTGCATAGCGAGGAAAGGAATGATGTATAATACTTCTGTAGGAGAATTAACTTGTCTAGGGCAAAAAGCTTATGATGATGATACAAAGAATACAACTTGGTGGTCGGCTTCAAATGTCTCAGAACCATCTAACCCGTTTGCAAGATATGCCAATTTAAAAGACGTATGGTTTGATCTATCCATCACATCTAACTGGAGAGCCCCAGCGAATTTGTACTGGATCTGTGGTAAGAAGGCCTATTCGGAGTTACCACAGGACTGGGAAGGGGCATGTGTGTTGGGTATGTTGAAACCATCCTTCTTCTTGTTGCCTATTGAAACAGGTGAGACTTTAGGTGTTAAAGTGTATGATGTGAATCATAGGAAGAAAAGGGGACCCATAGAGATAGGTGCCTGGGGAGATAATGAATGGCCTCCCCAGC